CACATAATTAATATATCTATATGAATAATTAATATTTATATAACGTGCAATTAATTAAACGTATTTGCATATGCTAATTTTAGTTAAATTATGTGAGACACATAGATTTAAAGTAACAATTAATCTGACAGGATTATACACCGTTATAAAAAGAATGATCCTATCCGATTGATCGTTAATTGCGACCATCGTGATCATCACGATCATTGTGTGCGGAGAGAATAAGGCATAAATTATATATCGATTAAAAAGATTAGCATCTCGCAACTTATTAGTGATGATATCCGCGATATAGGTTCACGCACTGTGGATCGATCGAGAGTCTCGAAAATGAAAGTATACCATATGCCGTATGGGAATAAACTGAGTGCGGTGCACTTGGGAAGGAGAGAGAGAGAGAGAGAGAAAGAGAGGGAGATTGCTATGTGTAAAGCCCTTTGAACATTGTAACGAAGAATTACAAACGAGGAAGGAACGCCGGATGATCGAATGTCGGACGGAGCAGGTGCCTCAACAAAGTTACCCGTTTTACGTCGCACTTTATTTTGTATTCTATTCCATTTCATTGCGCGATACCTCCGCAAATCAATCATAATTTGATATCGCCACGGTCGCCGTTATCGTTTTCCTCATGTAATTGTGTCGTCGTACCCCCTACATATTTAATAGCAATAATCGCAGAACATAAGCGTAGCGCCGTATACATACTTACATAAATGAATAAACGAACACCGTTGGGTTCTCATTTCACGCCACCTTAATATTTTAACATGAACTTTGAAATCGAGATTATTACGTCATATTTTAATTTGTTCTGACTAAACTTAAGAACAATAGGATTACGTATAATTCATACTGCTCTCTCGGAAATTTACATGAATTTCATAGGCACCGAAAGATTACATGATTTTTATTATCATCGTCTGCTCCATCTCGAAATAAAAATGATAGAAAAGAATTATCGGCCATTATCGGCCGAAATCTTTTAATCTGATATCCTTTTAATTTTCTTGAATACAATTTATCGTGCGCGCGAACACTTCTTTTATGATGTAATTTTTAATATTATTCTCGACATAGATATTGACGCGATCTGGCACCTAATTTCTTGTTCTTCCCGATAGCAATATAAACTGATAATGAGGATCCCAATAAATATTTCTGATGACTTGCCATAAGGCTTCGGTCTTCAGACTTGGAAAGTCCTCTCCTGTAATCTACTGGGAGGAGGCTCGCCATTAAAATCAAACAGCCTTCTCGGCTTCCTAAAGAATGTCAATGCCTTTTATTCTAAAGAAAACTACTCTCCGGTTGAGCATTCAAAATAAACGATACTATGAAAAAAAATCTTCAATTAATTTTGACATTCATTTTTTATTGTTCGAGTGAGTTTAAGATTATTACATTTAAAACAATGATACAAATATATGAAACGCGCATTTATTATGTCGATAAATTTTACTTTCGTATTTAATATACATAAAATAATATATATAAAATGTATAAAGCCGTTAAAAAAAAGAGTTACAGAGATAGAGAGAGCTATAAAAAGATCGTATGAAGGAACACACGCTTATACTTTGGGTTGCTTTGACCTATTACAACACGTAACGAACGATGGTCTTGATCGGCAGTGTGTCCCCAAATTTGGATCAGGGAAATGTGGTAGTCGTATGTCACTCGGGACAAACGGACAGCTGCTTTCGATCGGTGGCAAATATCTTATCGGACCGTTTCGTGTGACGATATGTCGTCGTTAAATGTGGGCACTGAGAAAAGAAGGAACTGCGGTGAAAACGAGATCTCTCAAAGGCGCATTTATCAGACGATTTACAGCTTTCAGCAATTTCTTGCGATGACAACGACCGGTTCGTAATTTGTTTACCCGTATTGTCACTCATTAGCAGATATATCAGCTAAGAGTTATGTAACAACGGAAAAGAAGGTCGCGAGAAATCGACACCGCGTCGTTTCTATGATATATGAGATAACCGGATGAATCTTAGCCACCCTGCGTGTGATTTCAAAGTAATAACATATAGATACGCCCGATTTTTTAAAGACTCATTAGTAATCCTCAAATAATGTAGCGCCGTTCGCATCCCAATATTTTGATATCTGCGTCCAGTTTCCGTATCATATATTTTTTATCACTTTTATGTATTTTCGCAGCAATTAAATTCAGATATGAATATATGTATATCTGTTAGAAGATGGTTGTTTACACACGTCTCTGACTGATTTTTTTAATCAATTCAAAACACAGATCAATAACGCATCGTATCATTGATTAATTTGATAATCTGATGTGAATTAATCAAAGATAATGACGCTCACGCAAAACGTTTAGGAAATCTGTCTGCATTTTTTTTTTTTTTTTTTAAATCGCTCCAAGTTAAATATCGTCTGATTGTAAGTTGTTCGTCTTTGAATTATATAAGACGCAAGTATGAATCCTATTATAATTTTGTACCCTGCTATTGATTTAGTGCCGTTGTAAAGACGAGCCGGACGTGATATAACGAAATAACGTATTTCGCGAGGCGAAAATAAAATATCTTAGCGTTATACAATCGAGCGATCACATAGTCGTCGAATAGATAGATATTAGCGTCCCATAGCATTTGCTTAGCGATGCACTTACGTTCATCGCAGGATTCTCGTGTCTCCTCCCGCGGGATATTTTGGCTCACATAGCGCGGATAATCCGGCTTAATGTCCTCCTTGACGTGAATGAGAACGGCGCTCGTTTATCGCGAGCGAATGCGCCGAGATCTTGTCCTGTCCTCGCTCGCGCCGAAATTCGACGGAGAATGTCTCAACGGACATACAGTAGGCAGATGCTACCAAAAATCCCACTGATACCTTTGAAACGATACTCGCGAAATGAACGACCGGCCCTTCTTAGTAATCGTCTTCAATCGATATTCGATAAATGTTATTCGCGATCTTTTTTTTTTTTTAATATAGTTGATTAATTTCATTTTTGTCTCTGTGTATTTATGATAAATTTGAAAAACTTATCAAATAATTTTTCTCCATTATTTGATGTTCTTATTTTATTGTTTAAAGATTTTTACAGTCAATTACTTTTTATCGTTTACTTATTGAAAAAATGATTTATTATACGAGTACATTCGACCACACACAGCACAGCGTTATCCTTAAATTGAAGCAAAGAATCAGGAGAGTCAGAAATTTTTGTTTGCTGTTATTAATGACTATTTATTGCTGAACTTATAGAGCTTAAACGTACCGAGACTCCTTTGTTTTAAAACTGTTATAAAACTGTTGTCGTTAAATGCATACATCGTAATGTCTCCAGATCTGTTAATATATGTTTTAAACTTGATGAGCTCTTAGCACCTAATCATGGTAATAAAATTTTTTGTTGTAAAAAGTTCAACATTGAAGTGTGCCAACAAGTTTGAAGGTATAATAGCGGTTCTTAAATATCTTCATAAAATTCTATAATTTCGATGCGATGGAACTTGGAATCATATTACAAAGAAAGTAATAGTATGTTGAACACTTTTGTGATAGACACAAGTATTTTATTGATAATACATTATGTGCTATGTAAATATAATATAATGATATGAATGTGTAACATTTTAATCTTACGTCTACAATCATTATTGTTGAATCAATTTTTTTACTAAGAAAATTTTGGAATCATGATAACGATACGAGGTATGATGTATCTTATACATTTAAACGTGTAGTATATAGTGTTATATTTTTGGAAAACTCACATGTATGAAAACACACATATATGAAAGCACTCATTACACACTTGGATTTGAAGTGTACATATAATGATATATTAATTAATCAAAGTGCATGTATTATATATTATTTTTTAGATTTTTCCAAGAAGAATTTACGATACAAAAAAGTATACAGCATTATATACTGCATTAATTTTTTTTATACATGATTGGCGCGTGCAGGACGATAGATATATATATATATATATATAGGCACAACTCCGATGTAATCCCTCGTATGGAATCTCGATGCGCGGCGGCTCTTCTCAAGAAAAACATGTAACACATGTGTCGCACGTAATTTTCATTGTAGAACCGGCGAGCTACGTGTCCGGATTCCGTTGAAAAACGTGAATCCGAACGACGATTTTTCAGATTTTCTTTCGAGCGACGCCGGTCATGCGTCTCCTCTTCGTCGGGCGAATATAATTCCTCCATGCGCACCTCGGCCGACGACACACCTTGACGATCCGTCGTCGGTCTAGCCCGGGGAACCCGGACGAGGTCCCCGGTCCGGTTTTTACTTTACCAGGGAACGTGTGCCTCGAAAGCCAACGGCGCGGCGCGGCGCGTCCGCTGTCTGACAGAGGCTGGGATTGACTCATGCACGTTTCTATTCCGACCTTTCAGGATTTACTAGATGTCGCCGACGTGACTCGCGGCCGCGTGACGTTCCTTGTGCGAGTGCACGCGTTTCATCCCTTTCGAGCTTGTTTCAGGAGCGAAGACCTCCGAGCCGGAACCGCTTCTCGCGAGAGACGAGAATTCGTTTTTCGCGAATTCTAGAATAAATGTGTTTTAAATAAAAATTTAATGTTTTTATATGTCAGAAATATGTCGCACATTATTTTTGTGCTTTGCAGAAATAATGATAAATTATTTATTTTCGTATCACGTGCACAAATACATATTATGTTTCCGTTAATTATATTATGATGTAAGAAAAGGTGTATAACATTGTACGTAATAGTGGTAACATATTGGAACAGTCAATCAAATTTGGATCTAAATGCACTTTCTTATTACGCATTCACGGGAATGTTATATTTGTCTTATTACATAAATTATTACCAGAATAAACACATAAATGCGATATAAGTTTAACGTATGACAATAAGGTAAAGCGCGATAGCTGCAAATTGCATGATATCTAATTTAAGTAAAAATAAGTTAGCTCGTTTAATCGAGCAAGCGATCTAATCGAAGTGTACGTGTTGATCGGGGGTCTAGGCAAATGTTTCCTCAGATGAAGTTTCGAGTTTCCGGTCTGGATGCCAAGGCCAAGTACATCCTTCTACTGGACATTGTCGCCGCCGATGACTACAGATACAAGTTCCACAACAGGTAGAGGTTTTGTAGGAAAAATAAAGGTGGACTCATAAAAATATAAATGTCGCGGATAACTCGTGTTAACGATCTCGAGCATTTCCTAAACCATTTCTTAACATGTACAACACCGGCCTTGATATCTGTATTTTCTTTTTGTCTTTTTTACTTTTAATATTCGAAAATCTTCTTAAACACAGATAGATTTGTAGAACATTAATGTTTTTTCACTTGTCTCGAGATCGTTAAAATTAGTTATCCGACTAACATCGCCGTATCCGAAGACGTTGATTTTAAGCACGGCTCTCCGTGTTAAACTTAGCAGTGAACGGCAAAACTAATGTACGGTGTGTCTTTTTGCGATTGCAAAATTGTTCGCAGACGCATGTTTCCCGCGTATAAAGTGAGGGTGTTCGGATTAGACAAGCAGGCTAGCTACATACTTCTAATGGACATCGTGGCATCGGACGAATGCCGATATAAATTTCACAACAGGTGACACTTTGATCCTGCGCGATCCTAGCGATTCTGGATCATTAATTACGAATTAAAACTCTTACATTACATTAATAGTTGGAAAACTTTTTGGAAGGTACATTTAATTAAACATTTCTTTGGCATAAAAAGTATTGTAGATAATTTTCGAAATTATACTTTGAAATAATGATCCTGGATTGGTTCCAATCGCGAATAATACTATCTGTACCAGGAAACTCTCCTGAAATATAAGTGTGGAGCGTGCGCTGCGAACAATTTCTCATACTCGTCGAAGATAATTTAATTATTTGTAATCCTGTGCAACCTTTTCGCGATCTTAAATATGATCCAATCCGCCGTGCGTAACAAATCCACGTTGAATTTCTGCATTTTTTGTGTAAAAAATCAGTTATGGATAATACACATTGAAAATTTATTTTTAAATATTTAATTAGTAAATATTTATTTTTTTATATTCTTGTGAACGAAGCAATATTTATACAAAAAAAAAAACAAAAATAATGAATGTTTGATTCTCTCGCAGAAGTGCCACATAAGGGTCGGTCCCATGGGAAATTATTTCGACTTGTATGGGAATCGCAAGCCTTCACATTAGTTAACTGAGATGCTTCGTGAATTTCGTTTCTCTGTAATTTCTCAAAAATTTCCGTGCTTATACATTCCAAATAAATATTATAGTTCTCTAAAAATTTTGTTAAACAGCCGCGCGTTAATAATTGTCATATTTTATCGTGACTTGTGATTTAAAAATAAATCTCTCGCATATTTGCTCGTTTTCGTTTAAAGTTTCTCTCGAATTTGGCCCAGCGCAAATATTTGCTTAGCTGCAAAAGTGAACAACCGTGTATTTCTTTCACGTACTTTCGCGCACTTTTCGACGATGGCACGGCACCGGAAACTTTTTCGCAACAGACATCGACTTGTTCCGACAGAGGGACTCGATTAGCGCTCTCCATCTTGAGAAAACTCTTACGAGGCATCTCGGTTACCAATGTTCGGACGATCGAAACGCAGATCACAATGAACGATTACATCACGTCGGCGACCGCAGCCACTTTGGAACTCGTCGGACGAGTTCTTCCTTCGATCCTTTGCGCTCGAGTTTGACCCACCTGCGACAACGGGAAAGAATACGAACGGTGGACACGCCTCTCTTAAAAGACAACAATCGTGTCTGATGCTCGTGGCGAGTCGGAGCTACTCGAGCTAAAGAGGAACACTAAACAATTCGAACCTTCTTTCGGCTCCTTCTAATAGATCATCGGTTTTGTCTGAGTTGAGAGATGCTTAAGCGAGTTACCACTGCCCTGCGAGAAAATTGTTGGAATCTGCTCGATTATCAAAAGCACGGTGGTTCTTATATTATATAATTATAATCGAATCTAGCTAGATCAAATAAAAAAACCAACCAATGAATTATAATCTAGTTTAAATAATTCGTTTCGGCATGGTGGTCGTAAATTAAAAATATTCCCCATAAACTTTGTTTCGTTTGAGATGTAAGAACTAAATCAACTGTACGAGACAGAAATTGATGTTGAAATTATAATCTATTTTATCGGACATTTTTTTATGGTCTGCATTTCGATCCGAGCGATTTGTCCTAAATAACGATAAAGAGCATTTCTCGATATCTTCATCGTTGTTGAGGCATGTTATATAGGCGAATTGTTTCCGGTAACTTTCTAATACATTCTTACGCGTGTTACGAGCAGTAGGTGGATGGTAGCGGGTAAGGCGGACCCGGAAATGCCGAAGAGGATGTACATACATCCGGACTCGCCCAGCAGCGGCGAACAGTGGATGCAGAAGGTCGTGAGCTTCCACAAACTCAAGCTCACCAACAACATCAGCGACAAGCACGGCTTTGTAAGTACTGTACGTAACGCCAACCAAACAATTACTTACTTACTAGCTACTCTAAGCTTATTCCTTTAGTTTGCAATTAATCGCTAACTTGAACCTGCCTGAAACGTACGACAGGCCGATTCAAAATTGCGAAACGGCCACAATTGTGTATGCATGTGGTACTTTTCGCGAGAAATTTTTCACAACGATGACGATCGATGATATACAAATATTATTCGATCTGTTTAATTCTACGTCAAGTCTGGAAAGAAGTATCTATCAAGATGTGACATCTTTGTATCGATAAGGAGAGCTGATGCTTCGCTTAATTAATCCAATTTTAAGGTATACCGGCTTTTATGTTCGTATAATAATCCTCGCGTTAATCGCCTACACGAGTGAAGAGGCCGAAATTCGCGAAATCGATCGAAAAACCGGAAACGGAGCAGTCGCGTTCCTTCACAACGGCCCTGACGGATTCCGTCAAGCGCGCGCGATCGGATTTCTGCGCGGATACCTAACCGCAGTGTAATCCTGGGATTAAGTTATCGCGATGGATTTCGCCGTCAAGAAAAACCCCCGCGCTCTCCTCCCGCTCCCCGCTCCTCTTATGCGCCTTCTTCCTCTCTATTAGCCTCGGCCGCCTGTCCCCCTTAGTTCTCCCCCCCCCTAACCCACCACCCCTCCCCTTCGTTCTCGTCTTTTCTTTCTTTTCGACGCGAGGTGCGCGGAAGCCAGCATTAACTAAAGACGAAGCCTGTCCCCTTTCTGCGGCTATGGTGCTCTGTCCCTATATACCTCGTCCTTTTTTTGCGAATCCTTTTTGCGGCAGCCTGTCGGCGTCCTTTGAAGGATCTTGCATCGCTGGCTCGTGAAATCTAGTCCTCCTTACCCAGAGCCCACCCGATGTCAATGGCTGGCTGTCGTGCAGTGCGTGGCAGATCGACCTTTGTTAAAACCACTCCTCTGCCTCCTCTTCTCTCTCTCTCTCTCTCTCTCTCTCCCCCCCTCCCCTCCTCCTTCCTTCTAATCTTTTTCTTTCGACGTCTCTCTTTCTCTTTCATGCGTAAACACTCGCATAAACACGTCTTTGCGCGAAGAGAGAAAAGCGAATGAGCACTTACAAGAGAGTGAAATGAATACGAGGATGTGTGAATGAAGGAAGAGAGAGAAGAGGAGCTAGATAGAAAGAGTGAAAAGGAGAGGCAAGGCAACGGAACAGATTGTCGTCGAAAAGTAATGTGGCCACGACATTATGCATGATTCACCTACAACGTATGATGGAGCAGCGGGCGTACGTCTTTCGTCCTTAAGGGCTCTCTTTCTCTCTCTCTCTCTCTCTCTCTCTCTCTCTCTCTCTTTCTCTTTTTTCTCTGTATCTCGGTAGAGAGACAGGATCCAGTTTGTGCACGAGCCCAGAAAATACCTCTCGAAAATATCTCCCCTTTTTGGCCGCGGCTAATAGATGACAGCCCTTTTCACCTGGTCCAACCCTTTCCAGATTTACGAATGATTTGGTTTGGAAGAGTCTTTTGAAGGATTATATATTTTTTCACGCTATCTCAAAAGCAATGCGTATGAAAATACAAACTTGTTAAGAAAAGTGAGGATAGTTTCTTATCGGCATAATGGAAAGTGCGTGATTTGTTTTTTTTTCTCGTATATGAAATTTGGAAAAATAAATTTAAGTGTTACGAGACGTAACACGTAGCTTCGTATGAATAACACGTATGTCGATGGATCCCGGGTTTTATCTTATGTATACGTTCATTTTTTGAAGATTTATAAAAGAGAATGATTAGAAAAATCACTTTGGTCTAATTAATTTCTAGGGTCTGTTGCAGTAGAAAGAATTTGTACTAAAAATTTGTGTTTTAAATATTATCTATTCGAAATAGTGCACTGGTTAAAAAGATTTCTTTCTCAGAGCTGTTCGAACAAATTACATAATCACAATTTCACTCTCTTTATAATGCGTATAATCATGTGTGTAATATGATAGAAATGACATTGAAAAAAAATGTAGGCGCAAGTTGAATGTAAGACAAAAATTATTACTGATTTCCAAATCCAATGTATTTTATCAAAAAATAATGTATCTTTATATCTAAATAATCATCTTATATAGCAATGCGTCAACAATATTAAAATCGCTCTAGAAAGTTTTATTTACAGAACGTTAAAATGTATGTCGTATTTATTATATTTCCCAAATGCAGAATTCGCTGTTACTTTTTCTACGTGCACGAGTCGAGATAATAAAAAGTGGAAGCATTAGACTAACAATAAATTTGAAGAATCATTACGAAACTTGACTTCGAGTTTGACTTGAATTTTTGTGGAGATTTAATCGTCTACTTATTTAGGAAAGGCGGTTGAAGGCCTTTGAAGGAAAAGTGAGAAGAAGCGAAAAATTAGCACAAATATCCTTTTTACTCTAATCCTAGTGTTACGCGAAGGGAGGAAGGGATGACAATGCACCGGGCCTTTTGTCGGGAAATCCTAACGCGCAAACAAAAACGAGACACTACGGCCGATTCCTTCCGAGATGTCTTCGAGAGCAATCCTAAGGGAGAGCCTAGGCCCGCAAGTAAATATCGGTGAAAGGCTGTCGAGAACCGCAAACAGGAAACTGACGGTGCGTTACTAGAACGGTTGGTGGCATCCTGGCGACGACAGCGGTTGAAAGGACCTCGTTACTCCCGTTTTAAAGCGACACCGCGTGCGCTTCTTCAGGTGCTAGTAAGCATTAGGCGTGGGAATATTTGACAGGATGAAAATCGTGGAAGCGTAACTGTTTTTTAAATAGAAGCAGAAATATATTGAAATATATGTATTAGGTGTTGGAATTAATTCGTAGCGTTTTACAAGTGATGGGAAGTACTTTCATTAATGTATTTTTTAATGCTCATGTGAAATAAATAACATTCTTTCATTAAAAACGCTACGAATTAATTCCAACACCTAATAGTTCCATGATACATTCTACGTTCCATAAATAAATGCAATGATACGCGTTTAAGAAATTTCATAAGAAGTATAATAATTAGCTTTTGAATCGACTGAAAGGCAAAATGTATGAGATTCATAAACATTATGAGACATAAAATTTCACCTAATTTAATTGAAAATATCAATATTTATTTATTCCATGTTATTTTAATCGCTATTTATTTAAAAATAGGTTTTGTTTGTGTAAAATGAGTACGATGCGAGATTTTTTACTTTGGCAATAATATAGCAGAGGTTCACCGATACCACCGCTCTTTATTAATTGTCGCCGATCGTCTCTTTCTTTTTCGGCTGAAAAGCGTTATCATTATTATGGCTTTCAGCTAATGAAGTAGTTCGATTTGGTGAGCGAATCGTCTCACCGCGGGACACCCGAAATACTGGAAATACTGGAATCACGAGCGACCAATTCCTTCAGAGATTATCTTTTAGTCGTTTTTTTTCGCTTCCGTTACAGCTTCTTGGCTTCGATGCTTTCAATCGCTCTTACTCCGCGTACTTTGACGCGTTCATTACTTAAATTACATTATTCTCCAATCATATTTCTTCAAAGCCATCATTGTTTGCACACAATTCTGCCGGGATGATATTTGTGAAGCGTTCGTATAAAATAAATACACGTTAAAATATTACGTCTTAAAATTTGATGTTTTTTTTATCGAAAAGCGGACATTGACTTTTATTGACATGTTTCATGTATTTACATAATTCTTCCGGTATCTAATGCAACGAATGCTAAACTCCCAGCTATAAAATGAATCTTGTTCTATCCAAATGTTAGTACGGCGTACATATACCGATTCGCAATAATCTTTTATTTCATTTTTCTTCCGCATCTAAATACTCGTCCATCGTGACCCACATCCAAACGAATGACATTCTGATGAATCGTCCGGCGAAGTAGGTACAGCCGAGAAACTATTTCATAGGCGCGAAATTTCGGTATCGTTCGATACGTGCTCGACATATCGCTCGGAATTCCGTTCGAAATCAATTTTCAATTTTCGCCCGGCCGCGTGCACAGGCACAGGCACAGGCACAGCGCATCCATATCCGCGTGCGCGCGCGCGCGCAAAAAAAATATCGAGAAAACGGGGGTGAATTCCTTTTTCAATTTTCCGAAAAAAATTAAAATGGGGAACAATCGGTCTGTCGAACGGAGAGCGACCGAAACTCGATCAAATGTGCCTCGCAGCTTTAATTATCCAGCGCCCAGCGGCGGAGCTTACAGAAGCACGGTCGAACGGCGCTCGTGATTTGTTTAGTAATGGATACGTGCCTGTAGTAGTGTTCGTTAGTTGACATTCAGCGATAGACCGATATGGGACGCGGCTTATCCGAGAGATAGCATTTCCCATCTGCCTGCCTCGCGCCGCGCTACACCGCCACTCTGCCTCTCCCATGCATGATTGTCCTCCCGCGCATTTTCCACATAAGGATCGAGATCGCATTTCTCAAGTTGATATTTCATAAAATCTGCATTACGACATAAGTTTCGATTATTCGTCGGTGAGAAAACAAAGATAGCCACGGTGGCGATTGGCAATCGCGGCTCTTATAATAACGGCTTAACATGTGTACTTTCGCACCGCGCGGCCGCGTGCAAATAGGACACGCGGTTATCCGCAAGCCGCGCACGTTCTTGTATAGAACAACGCGAGAAGACGCACGAATCGTATCGGGTTATATCGTACATTAGATAGCCGGTCTCGGTCGTGCGGGGCTAGTTGCGTGCGTCGCGTCAGTCGCGTGCGTCGCGTGCACGCATGTACGCACACTTGTTCATTATGATGGCTTCGCGTGTCCTGAGGCGTCGTCGTGCATGCATGCGTGCGAGCTTCGACTCTCGGCGGTGGCTCGGGAGCCATTTTGCTGTCCGCTGGGCGAGCAACACCGATTCGATTCGATACGTGTCGTGTCGCGGACATTAAAGCCTGGCCGCGCGCCGCCCTGCATGAGGATTAGTCACGAAAATCCCAACGAGATTGCGCGCGATTTGCATCGCGCGACTCATCCGC